TTGTGTGTTTTAGTTGAACTTGAAGTTTTGAAATTTTTTAAACTTGAGAATCAGGTGTTGGTTGAACTTGAGTTTGTGGTTTTTTTTAACTTTATTTTGTGTGTTTATTGAACTTGAGTTTCTGTTGTTTTTGAACTTGAAGTTGTGGAAATTGTTAAACTTGAGAATCAGGTGTTGGTTGAACTTGAGTTTGTGATTTTTTGGAACTTGAGTTTGTGTCGTGTTTTTGACCTTGAATTTGCGTATTTGGTGTACTTGAGTTTGTGTGTTTTTGAACTTGAGTTTCTGTTGTTTTTGAACTTGAAGTTGTGGAAATTGTTAAACTTGAGAATCAGGTGTTGGTTGAACTTGAGTTTGTGATTTTTTGGAACTTGAGTTTGTGTCGTGTTTGAACTTGAGTATGTTGTGGTGTTTTGAACTTGAGTTTTTGTGTTCGTTGAACATGAGTTTGAGGTGTGTTTGAACTTGAGTTTGTGGTGTTTGTTGAACTTGAGTTCGTTTCGTGTTTGAACTTGAGTTTGTGGTGTTTTTTCCAACTTGAGTATGTGTCATGTTTGAACTTGAGTTTTTGGCGTGTTTGACCTTGAGTATGTGTCATCTTTGAACTTGAGTTTGTGTGTTTGTTGCACTTGAGGTTGTGGCAATTTTTTAACTTGAGACTTGGATGTTTTTTTAACTTGAGTATGTAACATGTTTGAACTTGAGTTGTTGGCGTGTTTGACTTGAGTCTGTGGTGTGTTTGTACTTTAGTCTGTGTTGTTTTTGAACTTAAGGTTGTCGAAATTGTTAAACTTGAGAATTGGGTATTGGTATAACTTGAGTTTGTGTTGTGTTTTTGAACTTGAGTTTCTGTTGTTTTTGAACTATAGGTTGTGGAAATTTTTAAACTTGAGAATTGTGTATTGTTTGAACTTTAGTTTGTGTGTTTGTTAAACTTGACTTTGTGTCGTGTTTGAACTTGAGTTTGTGATGTTTTTGAACTTAAGGTTGTGGAGATTTTTTAACTTGAGAATTGGGTATTGGTTGAACTTGAGTTTTTGTTGCTTTTTAACTTGAGTTTGTGACGTGTTTAAACTTGAGTTTGTGTGTTTGTTGAACTTGAGGATGTGGCAATTGTTAAACTTAAGATTTGGGTGTTGGTTGAATTTGAGTTTGTGTCGTGTCTGAACTTGAGTTCATGATGTTTGTTTAACTTGAGTTTGTGTGTTTTTTGAACTTGAGGTTTTGGAAATTTTTAAACTTGAGAATCAGGTGTTGTTTGAACTTGAGTTTGTGGTTTTTTTAACTTGAGTTTGTGTCGTGTTTGAACTTGAGTATATGTTGTGTATTTGAACTTCAGTCTGTTTTGTTTTTGAACTTGAGGTTTTGGAAATTGTTAAACTTGAGAAAGTAGGTATTGGTTGAACTTGAGTTTATATTGTTTTTGAACTTGAGTTTGTGGTGTGTTTGAACTTGAGATTGTGTGTTATTTGAACTTGAGGTTGTGAAAATTTTGCAAACTTGAGAATCATGTGTTGGTTGAACTTGAGTTTGTGGTTTTTGTTGAACTTGAGTTTGTGGTGTGTTTGAACTTGAGTTTTTGTGTTTGTTGAACTGTAGTTTGTGTCGTGTTTGAACTTGAGTTTGATTCGTGTTTGAACTTGAGTTTGTGGTTTTTGTTAAACTTCAGTTTGTGTCGTATTTGAACTTGATTATTTGGTGTTTTTGAACTTGACTTTGTGTGTTTGTTGAACTTGAGTATGTGGTTTTTTTGAACTTGAGTTTGTGTCGTGTTTGAACTTGAGTTGCGTGTTTGGTGAACTTGAGTTTGTGTGTTTTTTGAACTTCAGTTTCTGTTGTTCTTGAACTTGGGGTTGTGGAAATTGTTAAACTTGAGAATTGGGTATTGGTTGAACTTGAGTTTTTGGTGTTGTTGAACTTGAGTTTGTGTCGTGTTTGAACTTGAGTTTGTGGTGTTTGTCAACTTGAGTTTGTGTCGTGTTTAAACTTTGGTTTTGGTGTGTTTTAACTTGAGTTTGTTGAACTTGAGGCTGTGGCAATTGTTAAACTTAAAATTTGGGTGTTGGTTGAATTTGAGTTTGTGTCGTGTCTGAACTTGTGTTCATGATGTTTTTTGACTTTATTTTGTGTGTTTTAGTTGAACTTGAAGTTTTGAAATTTTTTAAACTTGAGAATTAGGTGTTGGTTGAACTTGAGTTTGTGGTTTTTTTAACTTTATTTTGTGTGTTTATTGAACTTGAGTTTCTGTTGTTTTTGAACTTGAAGTTGTGGAAATTGTTAAACTTGAGAATCAGGTGTTGGTTGAACTTGAGTTTGTGATTTTTTGGAACTTGAGTTTGTGTCGTGTTTTTGACCTTGAATTTGCGTATTTGGTGTACTTGAGTTTGTGTGTTTTTTGAACTTGAGTTTCTGTTGTTTTTGAACTTGAAGTTGTGGAAATTGTTAAACTTGAGAATCAGGTGTTGGTTGAACTTGAGTTTGTGATTTTGTTGAACTTGAGTTTGTGTCGTGTTTGAACTTGAGTATGTTGTGGTGTTTTGAACTTGAGTTTTTGTGTTCGTTGAACATGAGTTTGAGGTGTGTTTGAACTTGAGTTTGTGGTGTTTGTTGAACTTGAGTTCGTTTCGTGTTTGAACTTGAGTTTGTGGTGTTTTTTCCAACTTGAGTATGTGTCATGTTTGAACTTGAGTTTTTGGCGTGTTTGACCTTGAGTATGTGTCATCTTTGAACTTGAGTTTGTGTGTTTGTTGCACTTGAGGTTGTGGCAATTTTTTAACTTGAGACTTGGATGTTTTTTTAACTTGAGTATGTAACATGTTTGAACTTGAGTTGTTGGCGTGTTTGACTTGAGTCTGTGGTGTGTTTGTACTTTAGTCTGTGTTGTTTTTGAACTTAAGGTTGTCGAAATTGTTAAACTTGAGAATTGGGTATTGGTATAACTTGAGTTTGTGTTGTGTTTTTGAACTTGAGTTTCTGTTGTTTTTGAACTTTAGGTTGTGGAAATTTTTAAACTTGAGAATTGTGTATTGTTTGAACTTTAGTTTGTGTGTTTGTTAAACTTGACTTTGTGTCGTGTTTGAACTTGAGTTTGTGATGTTTTTGAACTTGAGTTTGTGATGTTTTTGAACTTCAGGTTGTGGAGATTTTTTAACTTGAGAATTGGGTATTGGTTGAACTTGAGTTTTTGTTGCTTTTTAACTTGAGTTTGTGACGTGTTTAAACTTGAGTTTGTGTGTTTGTTGAACTTGAGGATGTGGCAATTGTTAAACTTAAGATTTGGGTGTTGGTTGAATTTGATTTTGTGTCGTGTCTGAACTTGAGTTCATGATGTTTGTTTAACTTGAGTTTGTGTGTTTTTTGAACTTGAGGTTTTGAAAATTTTTAAACTTGAGAATCAGGTGTTGTTTGAACTTGAGTTTGTGGTTTTTTTAACTTGAGTTTGTGTCGTGTTTGAACTTGAGTATGTTGTGTATTTGAACTTCAGTCTGTTTTGTTTTTGAACTTGAGGTTTTGGAAATTGTTAAACTTGAGAAAGTAGGTATTGGTTGAACTTGAGTTTATATTGTTTTTGAACTTGAGTTTGTGGTGTGTTTGAACTTGAGATTGTGTGTTATTTGAACTTGAGGTTGTGAAAATTTTGCAAACTTGAGAATCAGGTGTTGGTTGAACTTGAGTTTGTGGTTTTTGTTGAACTTGAGTTTGTGGTGTGTTTGAACTTGAGATTGTGTGTTATTTGAACTTGAGGTTGTGAAAATTTTTAAACTTGACAATCAGGTTTTGGTTGAACTTGAGTTTGTGTTGTGTTTGAACTTGATTTTGTGCCGTTTTTTAACTTGAGTTTGTGGTGATTTTGAACTTGAGTCTGTGTTCTTGAATTTGAGGTTGTGGAAATTGTTAAACTTGAGAATTGGGTCTTGGTTGAATTTGAGTTTTTGGTGTTTTTGAACTTGAGTTTGTGTCGTGTTTGAACTTGAGTTTGTGGTGTTTTTGAACTTTAATTTGCATGTTTTGTGAACTTGAGTTTGTGTTTTTTGAACTTGAGTTTCTGTTGTATTTGAACTTGAGGTTGTGGATATTGTTAAACCTTTGAATCAGGTGTTGGTTGAACTTGAGTTTGTGTGTTTGTTGAACTAAAATTTGTTGAACTTGAGTTTGTGGCAATTGTTGAACTTGCGTCTGTGGTGTAGCAATCAAGACAACCCTGGGTGTGAAACTCATACATTTCTCACAGGAAAGTTTCCTTATCTTGTCCCAGGACACAGGATATAAATCTTTCCAGACTTGTTTGCACTTTCAGGTTACCTAAATGACCCGACCGGAGGTTGACTAAACCTCTGAGTCTTCACGATTGGTCGATTCGGAGAACAGAGACAGAGTTTTTATTACCTTTAAAACTGACTCCATTGCTGACCATCTAAATAAACATTAACATCTCAACCCAGATCTCCCATTTGAGATTTACCTTCTTAAAGTGTGTGAACATACGGACCCCAGGATAAGGGGGGACACTGACCTCCAGACCTTGGTCGTAAAACCCTGCTCGACCATACACTGATAAAGACTGCATTCCTTTGGTGAAAGAATACAAATGACTGATCCTGACATCTTATGCATTCAGCAATGTACTAATCTGTCTAATCATGAAATTTGTGTTAACACTAGAAGGACCAGCTTTTGCTGTTCCTACCTATAAAGACCAGAGGGCAGCCAAACGGCTTGGAGGGCTTTTAGCCAGTTCTAAATGACCTGTGAACACTCAGTTTGTTATGCAAACGAGGCGATTGCTGGTGCACCACAGGAGGGGATATGCTGAGTTACTCCAAGAAAACTTGTGTTGTTGGGAGAGGGACTGGGGAGGGGGAGGGGAGTTTCTAACCTGAGAACAACTGTAGACAGAAACTGCTTCAGCCATAGCCACTGCACAGACAGTTTGGGCCTCTGTTTGTTTTGTTTGGTTCTACTTCTCCTGATGTCCCTGCACCTCAGCAGATGGAGAACCAATGGCTAAGGCCAGGAGGTCCATCTTGACTGGTCTTCAGAGCTTCCTGTGTTTCATCACACTGGACATGCTTGGTTCTATTCAAGACTGTACTGTTCAACATACGAAGCTAACAGAGTATGTTGATTGGTTCATGGCCCTCCCTGAACTAATGGCATTTATTGCCATTATTATCTTGCGGGGGCTGACCAAGGTTCCATCATTGAGTGACTGCTGGTCAGCAAACCTGGGAAACCCCCAGATCATTGCAACTATGTCCCGAAATCGCTTCAAAGACATTATGCGACACCTATGCTTTGATGATAGGGACACCCGCAGTGAGCGCACAAAGACTGACAAGTTAACTGCAATTTCTGCCATGTGGTCGTCATTTGTCACCAACTGCATCACATCCTACAACTCTGGCCGACACATCACCACTGACGAACAGCTTTTCCTGTCAAAGACTCGCTGCTGTTTCCTGCAGTACGTTGCAACGAAACCTGACAAGTTTGGGATCAAGTTTTGGGTGGCTTGTGACTTGAAATCCAAGTACATCTGCAATGTCCTCCCATATCTTTGCAAGGACCCCAGTCGTCCCAGTGGGGAGAGACTGTCCGAGAACGTAGTTTTGAGGCTGATGGAACCATTCCTGGACAAGCGCAAGAATGGAACCACAGACAATTTCTTCACATTGATGTCACTTGCGCAACCACTGCTTAGGTGGAAAACCACCATCCTAGGCACAGTCAACAAGATTCACTGGGAAATTCCACAATCATCTAGACAGAGGGCCTGCAATGAATTCACAACTCAAGTGTTTTAACCACTGGAGCCATACTTACGGTGTATGCGCCCAAACGGAAGAAGAAGGTCTACGTTCTCAGCAGCATGCATGCACAGCGTGGTTCAGACTGAGAATACTACTAAAATGAAGCCAAACACCAAATCACCCTTTACAATACTACAAAGTGCAACGTGGATGTGATGGACCAGATGGTGCAGGAGTACACTGTCCGCACCGGAACACGGTGCTGGCCAGTCGCTGTGTTCTATAACATGAATGATATGGCAGCATAGAATGCACGTGCTGTATCAAGCATGCAATGGGAGGCAGGATAGCCGGGTGGACTTCCTGGTGGAGCTTGCAAGAAAGCTGGCTAACTCTCATGTGACTGCGAAGAAGGCACGAGAGGAAGAATTGCTTCGGCAACAACCTTCCACACCTAGCCCTGGGAAAAGAGCCATGTGCCAGGTTAAAAATCAGTGTAAGAACAATCATGCCACTGTGCGATGTGTTGACTGCTACAGATACACATGTGGGAAATGCAGAGGGGAGATACCATGGCAGTGCCAGGATTGTGAGTGAGAATCTAACACTGTATCCTGATAATGCATATTCACCTGAAGTCCATGACCAACCTTTTTATACTTTATATATGTCCTGCATGCTCTTATTGTTTTCTATTCTTGTATTTTACATATTATTCTCTGTTTAATGTTGCACCATCACGCCGTAAAAAATCCTAGCATTGTACATAGCCTTTCATACTTTTATACTTTATATATGTCCTGCATGCTCTTATTTTCTACTTGTATTTTACATATTATTCTCCGTTTAATAATGCACCATCACGTTGTAAAAAATTCCTAGTCTGTGAAACATGTTCATTGACAATAGCAATAAAACCCCTTGTGATTCTGATTCTTGTTCTTATTCTATACAGTTTTTTAAATTTTGTTTATTTTTAATCAATAAATTTCAGCAACAAAGTAAACAACCCATGTGTGTTGATCCCTTCCTGTCTGTTGTCCCTTCCCACTGCATACACCACTTAGTCCAGTCCCCTCCTGTGGTGTGCCAACGATCACCTCGTTTGCATAACAAAATGAGTGCTCACAGGTGATTTAGGATATTAGCTAAAATCCTTCCAGCCGATCGGCTGCCCCGTGGACCTTGAGGGGGGTAAAGCCAAATGGCTGCTCTGTGGTCCTTCTAGTGTTAAAATGAGATGTTTCCCGTTTTTCTATGTGCTCCAGAAGCAGAATTATTACTCTGACAGAATAAATCCTTTATTCTTTAGTTTCTTTAGACCAACAGCTTTTCAGACTGTTTCATGAACTTTTAAGAGTTAAATTTATTGACCTTGAATCATAACTTTACTCTAAGTAACAGAAATGGTTTAGAAATGTTTGTTCTATATTTTAATCGTTTATTTAGTATTTTTAACCATTAGGTGGTTATAATGTCATTGAATAATCTGAATGTGAGTATTTAGAATCCATTATTAATCATGATTAAGTTCATTCACATATGTTTACTCTTTTGTTGTTCACAGTTTCCATGTGTTACTATCTGTTTCATTTCAGAGTAATTTAGCATGTTCAATGTGATACTTAAAATGTAATGAGAATGTTTGATGTGATCCTACACTTCATTCATATATGTTTAGTATCAAATTATTTATCATGAAACCAAGCATTCAATGATATTAATCATAGTGAGTGAGTATCAGATCTGACTCTTTTACCAGCCAAAAGAATAATGTAGATCAAATAATCAGAGACCCCATGAACCCTCCTCTTTCTCCTCACACACACACGCCAGAGCCACTCCCAGTGTGAGAAGATAAAACCAGTGAAGTGGGGTTGCTCACTCTCTTGTCTGCTCTCTCTTATGCCCCTTACTCTTCTCCCCTTTTGGGTCTTCTGTCCACTACCTTCTGTGGTCCTCTTCTTTGTTTTCTCTTAGAACTTTTTCTTACTCCTCTAAGTTTTACACCACGTGTTGATTCACGCTGATTTTTCTTTAACATTGTCTTAGTTCAAGTTTTGAAACTTCAACTTTTTGTGCGCATAGCAATTCAAGATTAAGCCTTTGATTGATTTTTCTTGTGGTTTTTTTTTTTAAATTGAGTTTTTGTCTTTTTTAAGTTTGTAGTTTTTTGAACTTGAGTCTGTGTTGTTTTGAACTTGAGGATGTGGCAATTGTTAAACTTGACAATCAGGTGTTGGTTGAACTTGAGTTTGTGTCGTGTTTGAACTTGAGTTCGTGTTGTTTGTTTAACTTGAGGTTGTGTGTTTTTTGAACTTGAGGTTGTGAAAATTTTTAAACTTGAAAATCAGGTGTTGGTTGAACTTGAGTTTGTGTTTTTTTTTGTCGGGTTTTACCTTGAGTTTGTAGTTTTTTGTACTTGATTTTATGGTGTTTTTGAACTTGAGTTTGTGTCGTGTTTGAACTTGAGTTTGTGTTGTGTTTGAACTTGAGTTTGTGGTGTTTTTGAAATTGAGTTTGTGTGTTTGGTGAACTTGAATTTGTGTGTTTTTTTAACTTGAGTTTCTGTTGTTTTTGAACTTGAGGTTGTGGAAATTGTTAAACTTGAGAATCAGGTGTTGGTTGAACTTGAGTTTGTAGTTTTTTTTTAACTTGAGTTAGTGATGTGTTTAAACTTGAGTTTGTGTTGTTTTGGCACTTGAGTTTGTTTCGTGTTTGAACTTGAGTTTTCTGCGTTTGTTGAACTTGAGTTTTTTTCATTTTGAACTTGAGTTTGTGGTGTTATTGAACTTGAGTTTGTGGTGTTTTTGAACTTGAGGGTGTGGATTTTGTTAAACTTGAGAATTTTGTATTGTTTGAACTTGAGTTTGTGTGTTTTTTGAACTTGAGTTTGTGTCGTGTTTGAACTTGAGTTCGTGTTGATTGTTGAACTGGAGTTTTTGTGTTTTTTGAACTTGAGGTTGTGGCAATTGTTAGACTTGAGATTTGGGTGTTGGTTGAACTTGAGTTTGTGTCGTGTTTGAACTTGAGTTCGTGTTGATTGTTGAACTTGAGTTTGTGTGTTTTTTGAACTTGAGATTTTGTCGTGTTTGAACTTGAGTATGTTGTGTAATTGAACTTGAGTTGAGTCTGGTTTTTAAACTTAAGGTTGCGGAACTGTTAAACTTGAAAATCAGGTATTAGTGTAACTTGAGTTTGTGGTTTTATTTAACTTCAGTTTGTGTCGTGTTTGAACTTGAGTTTGTAGTGTTTTTGAACTTGAGTTTGTGGTGTTTTTGAACTTGAGTTTGTTTCGTATTTGAACATGAGTTTGTGGCGTTTGTTGAACTTGAGTTTTTGTCGTGTTTGAACTTGAGGTTGTGGCAATTGTTTTACTTGAGATTTTGTTGTTGGTTGACCTTTAGTTTGTGTCACATTTGAACTTGAGTTTGTGGTGTTTTTGAACTTGAATTTGTGTGTTTCGTGAACTTGAGTTTATGGTGTTTTCGAACTTGAATCTGTTGTTGAACTTGAGGTTGTTGAAATTGTTAAACTTGAGAATTGGGTATTGGTTGAACTTGAGATTGTGATTTTGTTTAACTTGAGTTTTTGTTGTGTTTCAACTTGAGTTTCTGATGTTCTTGAATTTGAGTTTGTGTGTTTGTTGAACTTGAGTTTGTTTCGTGTTTGAACTTGAGTTTGTGTCATTTTTGAACTTGAGGTTGTGGTGTGTTTGAACTTGAGTTTGTGTGTATTTTGAACTTAAGGTTGTGGTAATTTTAAAACTTGAGATTTGGGAATTGGTTGAACTTGAGTCTGTGTTGTTGTTGAACTTGAGGTTTTTGAAATTGTGAAACTTGAGAATTGGGTATTGGTTGAACTTGAGTTTGTGATTTTGTTGAACTTGAGTTTGTGTCGTGTTTAAACTTGAGTTTGTGGTGTTTTTGAACTTGAGTTTGTGTTGTGTTTGAACTTGAGTTTGTTTCTTTCTTGACTTGAGTTTGTGGCATTTGTTGAACTTGAGTTTGTGTCGTGTTTGAACTTGAATTTGTGGTGTTTTCGAACTTGAGTTTGTGGTGTTTTTGAACTTGAGGTTGTGGTGTTTTTGAACTTGAGGATGTGGAAATTGTTCAACTTGAGAATTGGGTATTGGTTTAACTTGAGTTTTTTGTGTTTTTGAACTTGAGTTTGTGTCGTGTTTGAACTTGAGTTTGTGGTGTTTTTGAACTTGAATTTGGGTGTTTGGTGAACTTGAGTTTTTGTGTTTTTTGAACTTGAGTTTCTGTTGTTTTTGAACTTGAGTTTGTGGAAATTGTTGTGGAAAAACTTGAGAATTTGGTATTTGTTGAACTTGAGTCTGTGTTGTTGTTGAACTTGAGGTTGTTGAAATTGTGAAACTTGAGAATTGGGTATTGGTTGAACTTGAGTTTGTGATTTTTTTTAACTTGAGTTTGTGTCATGTTTTAACTTGAGTTTGTGATGTTTTTGAATTTGAGTTTGTGTGTTTGTTGAACTTGAGTTTGTGTTGTGTTTGAACTTGAATTTGTGGCAAATGTTGAACTTGAGTCTGTGCTTTTTGGTGAACTTTAGTTGGTGGGAATTGTTGAACTTGAGTTTGTGGCATATGTTGAACTTGAGTTTGTGACGTGTTTGAACTTGCGTTAGTTTTTTTTTTACTTGAGGTTGTGGTGTTTTTGAACTTGAGGTTTTGGAAATTGTTTAACTTGAGAATTGGGTATTGGTTTAACTTGAGTTTGTGTGTTTGTTGAACTTGAGGTTGTGGCAATTGTTAAACTTGAGTTTGTGTGTTTTTTGAACTTGAGTTTGCGGTGTGTTTGAACTAGAGTTTCTGTTGTTTTTGAACTTGAGTTTGTGGCATTTGTTGAACTTGAGTTTGTGACGTGTTTGAACTTGGGTTTGTGTGTTTTTTGAACTTGAATTTCTGTTGTTTTTGAACTTGAGGTATTGGAAATTGTTAAACCTTAGAATCAGCTGTTGGTTGAACTTGAGTTTGTGTTTTGTTGAACTTGAGTTTGTGTCGTGTTTGAACTTTAGTTTGTGGTGTTTTTGAACTTGAGTTTGTGTGTTTGTTGAACTTGAGTTTGTGTTGTGTTTGAACTTGAGTTTGTGGTGTTTTTTAACTTAAGTTTGTGGTGTTTTTGAACTTGAGTTTGTGTGTTTGTTGAACTTGAGTTTGCGGTGTGTTTGAACTAGAGTTTCTGTTGTTTTTGAACTTGAGTTTGTGGCATTTGTTGAACTTGAGTTTGTGACGTGTTTGAACTTGGGTTTGTGTGTTTTTTGAACTTGAATTTCTGTTGTTTTTGAACTTGAGGTATTGGAAATTGTTAAACCTTAGAATCAGCTGTTGGTTGAACTTGAGTTTGTGTTTTGTTGAACTTGAGTTTGTGTCGTGTTTGAACTTTAGTTTGTGGTGTTTTTGAACTTGAGCTTGTGTGTTTGTTGAACTTGAGTTTGTGTTGTGTTTGAACTTGAGGTTGTGGCAATTGTTAAACTTGAGTTTGTGGTGTTTTTGAACTTGAGTTTGCGGTGTGTTTGAACTAGAGTTTCTGTTGTTTTTGAATTTGAGTTTGTGGCATTTGTTGAACTTGAGTTTGTGACATGTTTGAACTTGGGTTTGTGTGTTTTTTGAACTTGAATTTCTGTTGTTTTTGAACTTGAGGTATTGGAAATTGTTAAACCTTAGAATCAGCTGTTGGTTGAACTTGAGTTTGTGTTTTGTTGAACTTGAGTTTGTGTCGTGTTTGAACTTTGGTTTGTGGTGTTTTTGAACTTGAGTTTGTGGTGTTTTTGAACTTAAGTTTGTGGTGTTTTTCAACTTGAGTTCGTGGTTTTTTTTAACTTGAGGTTGTGGAAATTGTTATACTTGAGACCTGGGTATAGGTCGAACTTGAGGTTTTTTTTTTTAACATGAGTTTGTGTCGTGTTTGAACTTGAGTTTGTGGTGTTTTTGGACTTGAGTTTGTGGTGTTTTTAACTTAAGGGTGTGCCAAATGTTAAACTTGAGAAACTGGTATTGGTTGAACTAGAGTTTTTGGTGTTTTTGAACTTGAGTTTTTGGAAATTGTTAAACTTGAGAATCAGATGTTGGATGAACTTGAGTTAGTGTGTTTTTTGAACTTGAGTTTGTGTCATGTTTTAACTTGAGTTTGTGATGTTTTTGAATTTGAGTTTGTGTGTTTGTTGAACTTGAGTTTGTGTTGTGTTTGAACTTGAATTTGTGGCAAATGTTGAAATTGAGTCTTTGCTTTTTGGTGAACTTTAGTTGGTGGGAATTGTTGAACTTGAGTTTGTGGCATATGTTGAACTTGAGTTTGTGACGTGTTTGAACTTGCGTTAGTTTTTTTTTTACTTGAGGTTGTGGTGTTTTTGAACTTGAGGTTTTGGAAATTGTTTAACTTGAGAATTGGGTATTGGTTTAACTTGAGTTTGTGTGTTTGTTGAACTTGAGGTTGTGGCAATTGTTAAACTTGAGTTTGTGGTGTTTTTGAACTTGAGTTTGTGTGTTTTTTGAACTTGAGTTTGCGGTGTGTTTGAACTAGAGTTTCTGTTGTTTTTGAACTTGAGTTTGTGGCATTTGTTGAACTTGAGTTTGTGACGTGTTTGAACTTGGGTTTGTGTGTTTTTTGAACTTGAATTTCTGTTGTTTTTGAACTTGAGGTATTGGAAATTGTTAAACCTTAGAATCAGCTGTTGGTTGAACTTGAGTTTGTGTTTTCTTGAACTTGAGTTTGTGTCGTGTTTGAACTTTAGTTTGTGGTGTTTTTGAACTTGAGTTTGTGTGTTTGTTGAACTTGAGTTTGTGTTGTGTTTGAACTTGAGTTTGTGGTGTTTTTGAACTAGAGTTTCTGTTGTTTTTGAACTTGAGTTTGTGGCATTTGTTGAACTTGAGTTTGTGACGTGTTTGAACTTGGGTTTGTGTGTTTTTTGAACTTGAATTTCTGTTGTTTTTGAACTTGAGGTATTGGAAATTGTTAAACCTTAGAATCAGCTGTTGGTTGAACTTGAGTTTGTGTCGTGTTTGAACTTTAGTTTGTGGTGTTTTTGAACTTGAGCTTGTGTGTTTGTTGAACTTGAGTTTGTGTTGTGTTTGAACTTGAGGTTGTGGCAATTGTTAAACTTGAGTTTGTGGTGTTTTTGAACTTGAGTTTGCGGTGTGTTTGAACTAGAGTTTCTGTTGTTTTTGAATTTGAGTTTGTGGCATTTGTTGAACTTGAGTTTGTGACATGTTTGAACTTGGGTTTGTGTGTTTTTTGAACTTGAATTTCTGTTGTTTTTGAACTTGAGGTATTGGAAATTGTTAAACCTTAGAATCAGCTGTTGGTTGAACTTGAGTTTGTGTTTTGTTGAACTTGAGTTTGTGTCGTGTTTGAACTTTGGTTTGTGGTGTTTTAGAACTTGAGTTTGTGTGTTTGTTGAACTTGAGTTTGTGTTTTGTTGAACTTGAGTTTGTGTCGTGTTTGAACTTTGGTTTGTGGTGTTTTTGAACTTGAGTTTGTGTGTTTGTTGAACTTGAGTTTGTGTTGTGTTTGAACTTGAGTTTGTGGTGTTTTTGAACTTAAGTTTGTGGTGTTTTTCAACTTGAGTTTGTGGTTTTTTTTAACTTGAGGTTGTGGAAATTGTTATACTTGAGACCTGGGTATAGGTCGAACTTGAGTTTTTTTTTTTAACATGAGTTTGTGTCGTGTTTGAACTTGAGCTTGTGGTGTTTTTGGACTTTAGTTTGTGGTGTTTTTGAACTTGAGTTTGTGTGTTTGTTGAACTTGAGTTTGTGTTGTGTTTGAACTTGAGTTTGTGGTGTTTTTTAACTTAAGTTTGTGGTGTTTTTGAACTTGAGTTTGTGTGTTTGTTGAACTTGAGTTTGCGGTGTGTTTGAACTAGAGTTTCTGTTGTTTTTGAACTTGAGTTTGTGTGTTTGTTGAACTTGAGTTTGTGTTGTGTTTGAACTTGAGTTTGTGGTGTTTTTGAACTTGAGTTTGTGTGTTTGTTGAACTTGAGTTTGTGTTGTGTTTGAACTTGAGGTTTTGGAAATTGTTTAACTTGAGAATTGGGTATTGGTTTAACTTGAGTTTGTGTGTTTGTTGAACTTGAGGTTGTGGCAATTGTTAAACTTGAGTTTGTGGTGTTTTTGAACTTGAGTTTGTGTGTTTTTTGAACTTGAGTTTGCGGTGTGTTTGAACTAGAGTTTCTGTTGTTTTTGAACTTGAGTTTGTGGCATTTGTTGAACTTGAGTTTGTGACGTGTTTGAACTTGGGTTTGTGTGTTTTTTGAACTTGAATTTCTGTTGTTTTTGAACTTGAGGTATTGGAAATTGTTAAACCTTAGAATCAGCTGTTGGTTGAACTTGAGTTTGTGTTTTCTTGAACTTGAGTTTGTGTCGTGTTTGAACTTTAGTTTGTGGTGTTTTTGAACTTGAGTTTGTGTGTTTGTTGAACTTGAGTTTGTGTTGTGTTTGAACTTGAGTTTGTGGTGTTTTTGAACTAGAGTTTCTGTTGTTTTTGAACTTGAGTTTGTGGCATTTGTTGAACTTGAGTTTGTGACGTGTTTGAACTTGGGTTTGTGTGTTTTTTGAACTTGAATTTCTGTTGTTTTTGAACTTGAGGTATTGGAAATTGTTAAACCTTAGAATCAGCTGTTGGTTGAACTTGAGTTTGTGTCGTGTTTGAACTTTAGTTTGTGGTGTTTTTGAACTTGAGCTTGTGTGTTTGTTGAACTTGAGTTTGTGTTGTGTTTGAACTTGAGTTTGTGGCAATTGTTAAACTTGAGTTTGTGGTGTTTTTGAACTTGAGTTTGCGGTGTGTTTGAGCTAGAGTTTCTGTTGTTTTTGAATTTGAGTTTGTGGCATTTGTTGAACTTGAGTTTGTGACATGTTTGAACTTGGGTTTGTGTGTTTTTTGAACTTGAATTTCTGTTGTTTTTGAACTTGAGATATTGGAAATTGTTAAACCTTAGAATCAGCTGTTGGTTGAACTTGAGTTTGTGTTTTGTTGAACTTGAGTTTGTGTCGTGTTTGAACTTTGGTTTGTGGTGTTTTAGAACTTGAGTTTGTGTGTTTGTTGAACTTGAGTTTGTGTTTTGTTGAACTTGAGTTTGTGTCGTGTTTGAACTTTGGTTTGTGGTGTTTTTGAACTTGAGTTTGTGGTGTTTTTGAACTTAAGTTTGTGGTGTTTTTCAACTTGAGTTTGTGGTTTTTTTTAACTTGAGGTTGTGGAAATTGTTATACTTGAGACCTGGGTATAGGTCGAACTTGAGTTTTTTTTTTTAACATGAGTTTGTGTCGTGTTTGAACTTGAGCTTGTGGTGTTTTTGGACTTTAGTTTGTGGTGTTTTTGAACTTGAGTTTGTGTGTTTGTTGAACTTGAGTTTGTGTTGTGTTTGAACTTGAGTTTGTGGTGTTTTTTAACTTAAGTTTGTGGTGTTTTTGAACTTGAGTTTGTGTGTTTGTTGAACTTGAGTTTGCGGTGTGTTTGAACTAGAGTTTCTGTTGTTTTTGAACTTGAGTTTGTGTGTTTGTTGAACTTGAGTTTGTGTTGTGTTTGAACTTGAGTTTGTGGTGTTTTTGAACTTGAGTTTGTGTGTTTGTTGAACTTGAGTTTGTGTTGTGTTTGAACTTGAGTTTGTGGTGTTTTTGAACTTAAGTTTGTGGTGTTTTTGAACTTGAGTTTGTGTGTTTGTTGAACTTGAGTTTGCGGTGTGTTTGAACTAGAGTTTCTGTTGTTTTTGAACTTGAGTTTGTGGCATTTGTTGAACTTGAGTTTGTGACGTGTTTGAACTTGGGTTTGTGTGTTTTTTGAACTTGAATTTCTGTTGTTTTTGAACTTGAGGTATTGGAAATTGTTAAACCTTAGAATCAGCTGTTGGTTGAACTTGAGTTTGTGTTTTGTTGAACTTGAGTTTGTGTTGTGTTTGAACTTGAGTTTGTGGTGTTTTTGAACTTGAGCTTGTGTGTTTGTTGAACTTGAGTTTGTGTTGTGTTTGAACTTGAGGTTGTGGCAATTGTTAAACTTGAGTTTGTGGTGTTTTTGAACTTGAGTTTGTGTGTTTGTTGAACTTGAGTTTGCGGTGTGTTTGAACTAGAGTTTCTGTTGTTTTTGAACTTGAGTTTATGGCATTTGTTGAACTTGAGTTTGTGACGTGTTTGAACTTGGGTTTGTGTGTTTTTTGAACTTGAATTTCTGTTGTTTTTGAACTTGAGGTATTGGAAATTGTTAAACCTTAGAATCAGCTGTTGGTTGAACTTGAGTTTGTGTTTTGTTGAACTTGAGTTTGTGTCGTGTTTGAACTTTAGTTTGTGGTGTTTTTGAACTTGAGCTTGTGTGTTTGTTGAACTTGAGTTTGTGTTGTGTTTGAACTTGAGGTTGTGGCAATTGTTAAACTTGAGTTTGTGGTGTTTTTGAACTTGAGTTTGCGGTGTGTTTGAACTAGAGTTTCTGTTGTTTTTGAATTTGAGTTTGTGGCATTTGTTGAACTTGAGTTTGTGACATGTTTGAACTTGGGTTTGTGTGTTTTTTGAACTTGAATTTCTGTTGTTTTTGAACTTGAGGTATTGGAAATTGTTAAACCTTAGAATCAGCTGTTGGTTGAACTTGAGTTTGTGTTTTGTTGAACTTGAGTTTGTGTCGTGTTTGAACTTTGGTTTGTGGTGTTTTTGAACTTGAGTTTGTGGTGTTTTTCAACTTGAGTTCGTGGTTTTTTTTAACTTGAGGTTGTGGAAATTGTTATACTTGAGACCTGGGTATAGGTCGAACTTGAGTTTTTTTTTTAACATGAGTTTGTGTCGTGTTTGAACTTGAGTTTGTGGTGTTTTTGGACTTGAGTTTGTGGTGTTTTTAACTTAAGGGTGTGCCAAATGTTAAACTTGAGAAACTGGTATTGGTTGAACTAGAGTTTTTGGTGTTTTTGAACTTGAGTTTTTGGAAATTGTTAAACTTGAGAATCAGATGTTAGATGAACTTGAGTTAGTGTGTTTTTTGAACTTGAGTTTGTGTCATGTTTTAACTTGAGTTTGTGATGTTTTTGAATTTGAGTTTGTTTGTTTGTTGAACTTGAGTTTGTGTTGTGTTTGAACTTGAATTTGTGGCAAATGTTGAACTTGAGTTTGTGCTTTTTGGTGAACTTTAGTTGGTGGGAATTGTTGAACTTGAGTTTGTGGCATATGTTGAACTTGAGTTTGTGACGTGTTTGAACTTGCGTTAGTTTTTTTTTTTACTTGAGGTTGTGGTGTTTTTGAACTTGAGGTTTTGGAAATTGTTTAACTTGAGAATTGGGTATTGGTTTAACTTGAGTTTGTGTGTTTGTTGAACTTGAGGTTGTGGCAATTGTTAAACTTGAGTTTGTGGTGTTTTTGAACTTGAGTTTGTGTGTTTTTTGAACTTGAGTTTGCGGTGTGTTTGAACTAGAGTTTCTGTTGTTTTTGAACTTGAGTTTGTGGCATTTGTTGAACTTGAGTTTGTGACGTGTTTGAACTTGGGTTTGTGTGTTTTTTGAACTTGAATTTCTGTTGTTTTTGAACTTGAGGTATTGGAAATTGTTAAACCTTAGAATCAGCTGTTGGTTGAACTTGAGTTTGTGTTTTGTTGAACTTGAGTTTGTGTTGTGTTTGAACTTGAGTTTGTGGTGTTTTTGAACTTAAGTTTGTGGTGTTTTTGAACTTGAGTTTGCGGTGTGTTTGAACTAGAGTTTCTGTTGTTTTTGAACTTGAGTTTGTGGCATTTGTTGAACTTGAGTTTGGGACGTGTTTGAACTTGGGTTTGTGTGTTTTTTGAACTTGAATTTCTGTTGTTTTTGAACTTGAGGTATTGGAAATTGTTAAACCTTAGAATCAGCTGTTGGTTGAACTTGAGTTTGTGTTTTCTTGAACTTGAGTTTGTGTCGTGTTTGAACTTTAGTTTGTGGTGTTTTTGAACTTGAGTTTGTGTGTTTGTTGAACTTGAGTTTGTGTTGTGTTTGAACTTGAGTTTGTGGTGTTTTTGAACTTAAGTTTGTGGTGTTTTTCAATTTGAGTTTGTGTGTTTGTTGAACTTGAGTTTGCGGTGTGTTTGAACTAGAGTTTCTGTTGTTTTTGAACTTGAGTTTGTGGCATTTGTTGAACTTGAGTTTGTGACGTGTTTGAACTTGGGTTTGTGTGTTTTTTGAACTTGAATTTCTGTTGTTTTTGAACTTGAGGTATTGGAAATTGTTAAACCTTAGAATCAGCTGTTGGTTGAACTTGAGTTTGTGTTTTGTTGAACTTGAGTTTGTGTCGTGTTTGAACTTTAGTTTGTGGTGTTTTTGAACTTGAGCTTGTGTGTTTGTTGAACTTGAGTTTGTGTTGTGTTTGAACTTGAGGTTGTGGCAATTGTTAAACTTGAGTTTGTGGTGTTTTTGAACTTGAGTTTGCGGTGTGTTTGAGCTAGAGTTTCTGTTGTTTTTGAATTTGAGTTTGTGGCATTTGTTGAACTTGAGTTTGTGACATGTTTGAACTTGGGTTTGTGTGTTTTTTGAACTTGAATTTCTGTTGTTTTTGAACTTGAGGTATTGGAAATTGTTAAACCTTTGAATCAGCTGTTGGTTGAACTTGAGTTTGTGTTTTGTTGAACTTGAGTTTGTGTCGTGTTTGAACTTTGGTTTGTGGTGTTTTTGAACTTGAGTTTGTGGTGTTTTTGAACTTAAGTTTGTGGTGTTTTTCAACTTGAGTTCGTGGTTTTTTTTAACTTGAGGTTGTGGAAATTGTTATACTTGAGACCTGGGTATAGGTCGAACTTGAGTTTTTTTTTTTTTAACATGAGTTTGTGTCGTGTTTGAACTTGAGTTTGTGGTGTTTTTGGACTTGAGTTTGTGGTGTTTTTAACTTAAAGGTTTGCCAATGTTAAACTTGAGAAACTGGTATTGGTTGAACTAGAGTTTTTGGTGTTTTTGAACTTGAGTTTTTGGAAATTGTTAAACTTGAGAATCAGATGTTGGATGAACTTGAGTTAGTGTGTTTTTTGAACTTGAGTTTGTGTCATGTTTTAACTTGAGTTTGTGATGTTTTTGAATTTGAGTTTGTGTGTTTGTTGAACTTGAGTTTGTGTTGTGTTTGAACTTGAATTTGTGGCAAATGTTGAACTTGAGTCTGTGCTTTTTGGTGAACTTTAGTTGGTGGGAATTGTTGAACTTGAGTTTGTGGCATATGTTGAACTTGAGTTTGTGACGTGTTTGAACTTGCGTTAGTTTTTTTTACTTGAGGTTGTGGTGTTTTTGAACTTGAGGTTTTGGAAATTGTTTAACTTGAGAATTGGGTATTGGTTTAACTTGAGTTTGTGTGTTTGTTGAACTTGAGGTTGTGGCAATTGTTAAACTTGAGTTTGTGGTGTTTTTGAACTTGAGTTTGTGTGTTTTTTGAACTTGAGTTTGCGGTGTGTTTGAACTAGAGTTTCTGTTGTTTTTGAACTTGAGTTTGTGGCATTTGTTGAACTTGAGTTTGTGACGTGTTTGAACTTGGGTTTGTGTGTTTTTTGAACTTGAATTTCTGTTGTTTTTGAACTTGAGGTATTGGAAATTGTTAAACCTTAGAATCAGCTGTTGGTTGAACTTGAGTTTGTGTTTTGTTGAACTTGAGTTTGTGTTGTGTTTGAACTTGAGTTTGTGGTGTTTTTGAACTTAAGTTTGTGGTGTTTTTGAACTTGTGTTTGTGTGTTTGTTGAACTTGAGTTTGCGGTGTGTTTGAACTAGAGTTTCTGTTGTTTTTGAACTTGAGTTTGTGGCATTTGTTGAACTTGAGTTTGGGACGTGTTTGAACTTGGGTTTGTGTGTTTTTTGAACTTGAATTTCTGTTGTTTTTGAACTTGAGGTATTGGAAATTGTTAAACCTTAGAATCAGCTGTTGGTTGAACTTGAGTTTGTGTTTTGTTGAACTTGAGTTTGTGTCGTGTTTGAACTTTGGTTTGTGGTGTTTTTGAACTTGAGTTTGTGGTGTTTTTGAACTTAAGTTTGTGGTGTTTTTCAACTTGAGTTCGTGGTTTTTTTTAACTTGAGGTTGTGGAAATTGTTATTTTGAGACCTGGGTATAGGTCGAACTTGAGTTTTTTTTAACATGAGTTTGTGTCGTGTTTGAACTTGAGTTTGTGGTGTTTTTGGACTTGAGTTTGTGGTGTTTTTAACTTAAGGGTGTGCCAAATGTTAAACTTGAGAAACTGGTATTGGTTGAACTAGAGTTTTTGGTGTTTTTGAACTTGAGTTTTTGGAAATTGTTAAACTTGAGAATCAGATGTTGGATGAACTTGAGTTAGTGTGTTTTTTGAACTTGAGTTTGTGTCATGTTTTAACTTGAGTTTGTGATGTTTTTGAATTTGAGTTTGTGTGTTTGTTGAACTTGAGTTTGTGTTGTGTTTGAACTTGAATTTGTGGCAAATGTTGAACTTGAGTCTGTGCTTTTTGGTGAACTTTAGTTGGTGGGAATTGTTGAACTTGAGTTTGTGGCATATGTTGAACTTGAGTTTGTGACGTGTTTGAACTTGCGTTAGTTTTTTTTTTACTTGAGGTTGTGGTGTTTTTGAACTTGAGGTTTTGGAAATTGTTTAACTTGAGAATTGGGTATTGGTTTAACTTGAGTTTGTGTGTTTGTTGAACTTGAGGTTGTGGCAATTGTTAAACTTGAGTTTGTGGTGTTTTTGAACTTGAGTTTGTGTGTTTTTTGAACTTGAGTTTGCGGTGTGTTTGAACTAGAGTTTCTGTTGTTTTTGAACTTGAGTTTGTGGCATTTGTTGAACTTGAGTTTGTGACGTGTTTGAACTTGGGTTTGTGTGTTTTTTGAACTTGAATTTCTGTTGTTTTTGAACTTGAGGTATTGGAAATTGTTAAACCTTAGAATCAGCTGTTGGTTGAACTTGAGTTTGTGTTTTGTTGAACTTGAGTTTGTGTCGTGTTTGAACTTGAGTTTGTGGTGTTTTTGAACTTGAGTTTGTGTGTTTGTTGAACTTGAGTTTGTGTTGTGTTTGAACTTGAGTTTGTGGTGTTTTTGAACTTAAGTTTGTGGTGTTTTTGAACTTGAGTTTGTGTGTTTGTTGAACTTGAGTTTGCGGTGTGTTTGAACTAGAGTTTCTGTTGTTTTTGAACTTGAGTTTGTGGCATTTGTTGAACTTGAGTTTGTGACGTGTTTGAACTTGGGTTTGTGTGTTTTTTGAACTTGAGCTTGTGTGTTTGTTGAACTTGAGTTTGTGTTGTGTTTGAACTTGAGGTTGTGGCAATTGTTAAACTTGAGTTTGTGGTGTTTTTGAACTTGAGTTTTCGGTGTGTTTGAACTAGAGTTTCTGTTGTTTTTGAATTTGAGTTTGTGGCATTTGTTGAACTTGAGTTTGTGACATGTTTGAACTTGGGTTTGTGTGTTTTTTGAACTTGAATTTCTGTTGTTTTTGAACTTGAGGTATTGGAAATTGTTAAACCTTAGAATCAGCTGTTGGTTGAACTTGAGTTTGTGTTTTGTTGAACTTGAGTTTGTGTCGTGTTTGAACTTTGGTTTGTGGTGTTTTTGAACTTGAGTTTGTGTGTTTGTTGAACTTGAGTTTGTGTTTTGTTGAACTTGAGTTTGTGTCGTGTTTGAACTTTGTTTTGTGGTGTTTTTGAACTTGAGTTTGTGTGTTTGTTGAACTTGAGTTTGTGTTGTGTTTGAACTTGAGTTTGTGGTGTTTTTGAACTTAAGTTTGTGGTGTTTTTCAACTTGAGTTTGTGGTTTTTTTTAACTTGGTGTATTTGAAATTGTTATACTTGAGACCTGGGTATAGGTCGAACTTGAGTTTTTTTTTTTTAACATGAGTTTGTGTCGTGTTTGAACTTGAGCTTGTGGTGTTTTTGGACTTGAGTTTGTGGTGTTTTTAACTTAAGGGTGTGCCAAATGTTAAACTTGAGAAACTGGTATTGGTTGAACTAGAGTTTTTGGTGTTTTTGAACTTGAGTTTTTGGAAATTGTTAAACTTGAGAATCAGATGTTGGATGAACTTGAGTTAGTGTGTTTTTTGAACTTGAGTTTGTGTCATGTTTTAACTTGAGTTTGTGATGTTTTTGAATTTGAGTTTGTGTGTTTGTTGAACTTGAGTTTGTGTTGTGTTTGAACTTGAATTTGTGGCAAATGTTGAACTTGAGTCTGTGCTTTTTGGTGAACTTTAGTTGGTGGGAATTGTTGAACTTGAGTTTGTGGCATATGTTGAACTTGAGTTTGTGACGTGTTTGAACTTGCGTTAGTTTTTTTTTTACTTGAGTTTGTGGTGTTTTTGAACTTGAGGTTTTGGAAATTGTTTAACTTGAGAATTGGGTATTGGTTTAACTTGAGTTTGTGTGTTTGTTGAACTTGAGGTTGTGGCAATTGTTAAACTTGAGTTTGTGGTGTTTTTGAACTTGAGTTTGTGTGTTTTTTGAACTTGAGTTTGCGGTGTGTTTGAACTAGAGTTTCTGTTGTTTTTGAACTTGAGTTTGTGGCATTTGTTGAACTTGAGTTTGTGACGTGTTTGAACTTGGGTTTGTGTGTTTTTTGAACTTGAATTTCTGTTGTTTTTGAACTTGAGGTATTGGAAATTGTTAAACCTTAGAATCAGCTGTTGGTTGAACTTGAGTTTGTGTTTTGTTGAACTTGAGTTTGTGTCGTGTTTGAACTTGAGTTTGTGGTGTTTTTGAACTTGAGTTTGTGTGTTTGTTGAACTTGAGTTTGTGTTGTGTTTGAACTTGAGTTTGTGGTGTTTTTGAACTTGAGTTTGTGGTGTTTTTGAACTTGAGTTTGTGTGTTTGTTGAACTTGAGTTTGCGGTGTGTTTGAACTAGAGTTTCTGTTGTTTTTGAACTTGAGTTTGTGGCATTTGTTGAACTTGAGTTTGTGACGTGTTTGAACTTGGGTTTGTGTGTTTTTTGAACTTGAGCTTGTGTGTTTGTTGAACTTGAGTTTGTGTTGTGTTTGAACTTGAGGTTGTGGCAATTGTTAAACTTGAGTTTGTGGTGTTTTTGAACTTGAGTTTGCGGTGTGTTTGAACTAGAGTTTCTGTTGTTTTTGAATTTGAGTTTGTGGCATTTGTTGAACTTGAGTTTGTGACATGTTTGAACTTGGGTTTGTGTGTTTTTTGAACTTGAATTTCTGTTGTTTTTGAACTTGAGGTATTGGAAATTGTTAAACCTTAGAATCAGCTGTTGGTTGAACTTGAGTTTGTGTTTTGTTGAACTTGAGTTTGTGTCGTGTTTGAACTTTGGTTTGTGGTGTTTTAGAACTTGAGTTTGTGTGTTTGTTGAACTTGAGTTTGTGTTTTGTTGAACTTGAGTTTGTGTCGTGTTTGAACTTTGGTTTGTGGTGTTTTTGAACTTGAGTTTGTGTGTTTGTTGAACTTGAGTTTGTGTTGTGTTTGAACTTGAGTTTGTGGTGTTTTTGAACTTAAGTTTGTGGTGTTTTTCAACTTGAGTTTGTGGTTTTTTTTAACTTGGTGTATTTGAAATTGTTATACTTGAGACCTGGGTATAGGTCGAACTTGAGTTTTTTTTTTTTACATGAGTTTGTGTCGTGTTTGAACTTGAGTTTGTGGTGTTTTTGGACTTGAGTTTGTGGTGTTTTTAACTTAAGGGTGTGCCAAATGTTAAACTTGAGAAACTGGTATTGGTTGAACTAGAGTTTTTGGTGTTTTTGAACTTGAGTTTTTGGAAATTGTTAAACTTGAGAATCAGATGTTGGATGAACTTGAGTTAGTGTGTTTTTTGAACTTGAGTTTGTGTCATGTTTTAACTTGAGTTTGTGATAATTTTGAATTTGAGTTTGTGTGTTTGTTGAACTTGAGTTTGTGTTGTGTTTGAACTTGAATTTGTGGCAAATGTTGAACTTGAGTCTGTGCTTTTTGGTGAACTTTAGTTGGTGGGAATTGTTGAACTTGAGTTTGTGGCATATGTTGAACTTGAGTTTGTGACGTGTTTGAACTTGCGTTAGTTTTTTTTTTTACTTGAGGTTGTGGTGTTTTTGAACTTGAGGTTTTGGAAATTGTTTAACTTGAGAATTGGGTATTGGTTTAACTTGAGTTTGTGTGTTTGTTGAACTTGAGGTTGTGGCAATTGTTAAACTTGAGTTTGTGGTGTTTTTGAACTTGAGTTTGTGTGTTTTTTGAACTTGAGTTTGCGGTGTGTTTGAACTAGAGTTTCTGTTGTTTTTGAACTTGAGTTTGTGGCATTTGTTGAACTTGAGTTTGTGACGTGTTTGAACTTGGGTTTGTGTGTTTTTTGAACTTGAATTTCTGTTGTTTTTGAACTTGAGGTATTGGAAATTGTTAAACCTTAGAATCAGCTGTCGGTTGAACTTGAGTTTGTGTTTTGTTGAACTTGAGTTTGTGTTGTGTTTGAACTTGAGTTTGTGGTGTTTTTGAACTTAAGTTTGTGGTGTTTTTGAACTTGAGTTTGTGTGTTTGTTGAACTTGAGTTTGCGGTGTGTTTGAACTAGAGTTTCTGTTGTTTTTGAACTTGAGTTTGTGGCATTTGTTGAACTTGAGTTTGGGACGTGTTTGAACTTGGGTTTGTGTGTTTTTTGAACTTGAATTTCTGTTGTTTTTGAACTTGAGGTATTGGAAATTGTTAAACCTTAGAATCAGCTGTTGGTTGAACTTGAGTTTGTGTTTTCTTGAACTTGAGTTTGTGTCGTGTTTGAACTTTAGTTTGTGGTGTTTTTGAACTTGAGTTTGTGTGTTTGTTGAACTTGAGTTTGTGTTGTGTTTGAACTTGAGTTTGTGGTGTTTTTGAACTTGAGTTTGTGTGTTTGTTGAACTTGAGTTTGCGGTGTGTTTGAACTAGAGTTTCTGTTGTTTTTGAACTTGAGTTTGTGGCATTTGTTGAACTTGAGTTTGTGACGTGTTTGAACTTGGGTTTGTGTGTTTTTTGAACTTGAATTTCTGTTGTTTTTGAACTTGAGGTATTGGAAATTGTTAAACCTTAGAATCAGCTGTTGGTTGAACTTGAGTTTGTGTTTTCTTGAACTTGAGTTTGTGTCGTGTTTGAACTTTAGTTTGTGGTGTTTTTGAACTTGAGCTTGTGTGTTTGTTGAACTTGAGTTTGTGTTGTGTTTGAACTTGAGGTTGTGGCAATTGTTAAACTTGAGTTTGTGGTGTTTTTGAACTTGAGTTTGTGTTGTGTTTGAACTTGAGCTTGTGTGTTTGTTGAACTTGAGTTTGTGTTGTGATTGAACTTGAGTTTTTTTGTGTTTTTGAACTTAGGTTTATTTCGTGTTTGAACTTGAGTTTGCGTCGTGATTGCAATTGAGTTTGTGGTGTTTTTGAACTTGAGTTTGTGTTGTGTTTGAACTTGAGTTTTTGTGTATTTTGAACTAAAGATTGTGGCAATTTTTAAATTTGAGATTTAGGAATTGGTTGAACTTGAATTAGTGTGTTTGTTTAACTTGAGTTCCTGTCGTGTTTGAACTTGAGTTTGTGGTTTTTATTATCTTGAGTTTGTTTCGTGTTTGAACTTGAGGTTGTGGAAATTGTTAAACTTGAGAATCAGGTATTGGTTCAAGTTGAGTTTTTTGTGTTTTTGAAGTTGAGTTTGTTTCTTTCTTAACTTGAGTTTGTGGCGTTTGTTGAACTTGAGTTAACCCTTGTGCACCCCTAAGAAAAACTTCAATTAACACCCCTAAGGACCGAAACGGTCCCCTCCATTTTGCTGCAGTAGAAATATTGTCTAAATAAATATATTTAAATTTTTTTTTTTTTGGCTGGCATCATTGACTTATAACCTAATCATAAATAGCAAAACTTTATTCAGGTTTTGTATTTTAACCCCATAAATGCCAGTCTTTTTTGCAAAAACCTGATATTATTTTAAGTCAAAAAACACAATTAGTGAATTATTTTCCATCCTATATATGCAAATTGTTTTTTTAAACTTTTGATTATTAGAGCATGGGATTGGTAAACATTGATGAGAAAATTGATTTGAAAGGATTTGTATTTTTTCTGTAGTGCTGAATAATAATAAAAACTTCAATTAACACCCATAAGGACCGAAACGGTCCCCTCCATTTTGCTGCAGTAGAAATATTGTCTAAATAAATATATTTAAAAAATTTTTTTTTTGGCTGCCATCATTGACTTATAACCTAATCATAAATAGCTAAACTTTATTCAGGTTTTGTATTTTAACCCCATAAATGCCAGTCTTTTTTGTAAAAACCTGATATTATTTTAAGTCAAAAAACACAATTAGTGAATTATTTTCCATCCTATATATGCAAATTGTTTTTTTAAACTTTTGATTATTAGAGCATGGGATTGGTAAACATTGATGAGAAAATTGATTTGAAAGGATTTGTATTTTTTCTGTAGTGCTGAATAATAATAAAAACTTCAATTAACACCCCTAAGGACCGAAACGGTCCCCTCCATTTTGCTGCAGTAGAAATATTGTCTAAATAAATATATTTAAATTATTTTTTTTTTGGCTGCCATCATTGACTTATAACCTAATCATAAATTGCAAAACTTTATTCAGGTTTTGTATTTTAACCCCATAAATGCCAGTCTTTTTTGTAAAAACCTGATATTATTTTAAGTCAAAAAACACAATTAGTGAATTATTTTCCATCCTATAAATGCAAATTGTTTTTTTAAACTTTTGATTATTAGAGCATGGGATTGGTAAACATTGATGAGAAAATTGATTTGAAAGGATTTGTATTTTTTCTGTAGTGTTGAATAATAATACAAACTTCAATAAACACCCCTAAGGACCGAAACAGTCCCCTCCATTTTGCTGGAGTAAAAATATGGTCTAAATAAATGTATTTAATTTTCTTTTTTTTTTGCTGCCATCATTGACTTATATCATTGTAGAATCAGCTGTTGGTTGAACTTGAGTTTGTGGTGTTTTTGACTTTGAGTTTGTGTCGTGTTTTTGAACTTGAGGTTGTAGGAAGTATTTAACTTCAGAATTGGGTATTGGTTGAACTTGAGTTTGTGGTGTTTTTGAACTTGAGTCTGTGTTGTTTTTGAACTTGAGGTTGTGGAAATTGTTTAACTTGAGAATTGGGTTTTGGTTGAACTTAGGTTTTTGGTGTTTTTGAACTTGATGTTGTGGCAATTGTTCAACTTGAGAATTGGGTAACGGTTGAACTTGAGATTTGGGTTATTGTTGAAATTGAGTTTGCTGTGTTTTTGAACTTGGTTGGTTGAATTTAAACCTCTTTACATTTGTTGAACTTGAGTTTTTTGTGTTCTTTTAACTTGAGATTGTGTTGTGTTTGAACTTGAGTTTGTGGTGTTTTTTTAACTTGAGGTAGTGGTGTTTTTGAACTTGACGTTGTGGTTTGTTTGAACTTGAGTTTGTGTGTTTGTTGAACTTGAGGTTTTGTCATTTGTTAAACTTGAGATTTGGGTGTTGGTTGAACTTGAGTTTGTGTCAGGTTTGAACCTGAGTTTGTGGTGTTTTTGACTTTGAGTTTGTGTCGTGTTTTTGAACTTGAGGTTGTAGAAAGTAT